TATTTGTTTAAAAAAATCACAACTTACCTTGTCCCATTTGGGGCGAGCCTTCACTATTTTGTAGGGTTGTTCGCCCATCCGCACCACTTTAGCCTGCTTCAGCCAAATGTCCCTGGAATGCAACGTGTAGACACAAGCACGGGGGTACACGGCTTCACCTCGAACAAACCCCAAAGTGGGCGGCTCGGGGGGATAAATCGCCTCGAACTTCAGCAAGTGGCGCCTCAGTGCATAGAGCGGATGATCCTTATACCTGACAATAAAACGAAAAAAGTTTCTTTATTTAATTCAACGAAAGAAAACTCACTCTGATATCACTTTAGGGAGAGGCTGGTCCAGCTGTTGCCTGGCCAGGTCTTCATCTTCTTCCCGGTCTCTTGCTGTTAGGACGCCTTGGAACGGCTTCAGGCTTTCATTCCACCACTTTTGGTTGATCCGCAACTTCCTGGTGATTGTGTTGAAGTTTTGGCAGTAACGCTGCGTTACGTCCTTTACCTTACGATTATTGTCCCAAGCCAGCACGTACGCAACCGGATGCGTAGCTCTTTGCTGCAATTGACCAGGTGATTAATCTAGGACTAAACCGATAAAAACAACACCTACCACTATATTCTTGATACAATGTACTTGGCCCGACATCACATCGACAGTTATCCACTTTTCCTCGGATTCCAGAAATACTTCCACCCAGACGTCAGAGCCCTGCTTTTTGCTCTTTTCCTCTGGTTCTGGCTTTGCTGGGATGCGCCTCTTCACTTTGGCCTTCGGTGTGAAATCGTCTCCACTGTCCTGCTGTCTTTTCCTGACCGGTTCAGGGGCACAGTCGCTGTCCGAGTCGCTGGGTGCCGCTGATTTGCCTTGTTTTACCAGTCTACCCCATCAAGTAGCCATCAAAACCCCCTCCTTTGACAAAAAAAAAACAAACTCACCTGCTACGAGCAATCTGCTTCTCTTCGGCCATCCTGCTCTTAACAAGGCCGACAATATCTTGCTTAACGTCCAACGCTTTGGACTTTGAAGGCTTCTGTAGAGTTTTCAACTTCGCCAAATCTGGAGCGGCCTGACTTAGGCGTTTGCTGAAGGAGCACGACGGCTCGAACTCACTATCCGAGTCAGAAGCTGCAGTTGTTCTGCCAACTTTAAGCGCCTTCAACTTTTTCAAGTTGGGCTTAGAACGGCTGGGTTTTTTACGCTGATCTGCGGCTTCGGCTTCGGACTCGCTGTCACACAATCCATCGATTTGTAGTATTACTTTCGAGCGTCTGCTTGATCTGAGGTTCTTGGCTGTGTTTGGATTTGGCTCAGCAGATGCTCGACCATCTGGATTTTCGGTGAGGGTGGATTTTTTTCGTGACTTTTGCACCCTTGCGGAAGGTTCCACCGTAGCTGAAACAGCTGGCTCAGGACTGGTTGCTGACTTGCGTTTTCTCAGCTTAGCCAGCCTTGGCTTGGCGCCACCCGCTGGTTTCTGGTTGTTGTTTTCCTCATTTTTCGCCGCATCGTGTGAAGATGTTTGTTCCTCACTTTTGGCAGATCTGGGTGATTTCGCTGTTTCAGCACCTTGCGAGACTTTGCCTCCTGCACTGGCTGCCCGTCGTCGGGACTTTTGTGTTGCAAGTTTTTCATTTTCTGTACTTTTGGTGCGCTTTTTAGTTGCAATTTTCCCCGCTTGCAACTGTGACTCTGCGGCCCGCGGTGAACTTCCAACCAACTCCGTAGCAAGTTTACTGGATCTTTTCCCTTTGGCTTTCGGTCCTTGAGATTCCGGTTTGCTCGCTTCACTCGCCAACGCTTTGCGTGCAGCAGGCCTCTTCACTGGAGTAGGTTTCTGGAGGGTGATCGACACTTTTGCCTTGGGCGTTCCTTGCTTAGCCAATGAATCGCCTTTGCTTGCAGCATTTTCCCTGCTAGCAGAAGTTTTTGCGCTGAGGGAATGCAGATCACTGGCAGGGGGGCGAAGAGGTTCCACTTGCAAAGACATAACTATTCTTGCCTGGATGCCCAAGGCACGCAAAATGGCAACAAAGATCAGCGCCAGCATTTTCTTGTTGTAGGCCTGCTTTGTGTTGATCTGCTTTTGCAGACTGTCTGCTAGCGAGATGTTTTTCGGGGTTGCCCTCTCAATATTCTCAAATGTCTTGTGGTACCAAGCAGTGATCTGCTCCAAGTAGGACAAATCGGTTCGGCCGTTCGGGTAGCTTTGCTCAGATGGTAGCAGGGAGAGGGCCAGAGCAAGGGTTTGAGTATCATTAAGCACCGAATTCACATAGTTGCCATGCGCTATCCAGCAGAGCAAGTGCACTTGGTGGACCAGGAGCTGATTCTCTTTTCTGATCCGATTTAGGCGTCTCTTCATGGCTGCCACCAGATCAATGCCTTTCTTTTTCTTTACAACATCGGGCATATCGACGACTATTTGCAACCCTTTGGTCGGCACAATGTTTTTGGCCTTTGGGGCCTGCGAAAGATTCTTGATCTCCTCCCAGTCCTCCTTCTCCGAGTCGCACGACTCAAAATCACTATCATGAAAATCCCCCGCGGTTAGATGCGGTTCCTGGGGCGATTTGCCTTCTCCAACTGCCAGCAGATTTAAAATGTTCGTTTGCTTTTCCTGCGCTTGCTTTTTGGCCTTGTAAATTTCAACTTGCTTCTTCGCTTCTTCCATTTGTTTAGTGTAGTGTTCGAATTGGTTGAAACTTTGCTTGGCGGCCCCTTGTTGAGGAGGTTTGTGAGGCGTTGATTGCAGTTCAGGTGCTTCATTGCTGCTGTCTGATTCACCGTCGCTAAGGCTTTTCACTCCTTTAAAAAAGAACAGTTGATTGTGCTCGTTGAAAGCAAATTTGTGTTTTTGAAGACTAACCTGCTAAAATGTTTTTTTCAATGCTGGCAAACTCAGACGCACTAGTAGGTTGGGATGCAAAAAACTCGGAATCAAAATTGAGCTTCTCCGGCCTGTGCAAGTAAGTTTCAATATCACTTTCGCTTGATGAAGAACCTCCATTGGCTGTATGGGTTTTTTGATTAGGAGATGGTTTTTTTAAGGGCCGGTCATCCTCACTATCACTACTTTCTACGTATTTCTTGACACTGGTTCTGGTGCGCTTCATTTGGACTACTCATTAATAACAAACTAGTGCCGACAACAAGTTACTACGAACAGTAGACGATAAGAATATATACAACTTTAATTAAAAGCGCGCTTAAAAACATCACAAAACAAACATGACATCTCACATAACCTAACTGCCAAAACTCGTTATCAAGTGTGCTGCTGATACACAGACCTTGTAATCATCATGTTTGTAGTTTGGGCGTGGCATTGCAGTATATAAAAGCATTTTAACATTATTATTTTTCGCGTTTTATATGAATTCATATTCATTCTTTATAAAGTTTTTTCAAAATTATGTAATTCTATAACAAAAGATAAGAATACTGTTGAACCACACTTGCCGTAGGATAAAGCATAATCGAATAACTAAATATGAGGTAAAAGCAAACGTTCATTAGTTTCGGTTTTTGTTGGTTGTTTTTGCTGTTTGAAACAATGAGTATAAA